GCATTCCTTCGGTTCAAAAGACGTGAAATAAAAAGCACCCTTCCACAAAAAAAAGTGTTTCACATGGCTCCGGGGGATGAACAAAGGCCTCCTGTAGCTAATCGATGCGTTTTTGTAAGAAAAATTGGGAACTGGAACTGCTTCCGTGTGGATTGGCAAGGAACTGCTTCCGTGTACAACAGTGAGCGCAAGCTAGATTAAATTGATTATTATGTTTTATATATGGTTATTTTTCGTACAAAAACGCAACGATTCGCTAGAGGAGGACTTTGTTCACCCCCCGGAGCCGTGTGAGGCACTTTTTATTATGGAAGGGTGCGCTTTATTTCACTTCTTTTTGACTGATGAACTGCAACACCCGTTGACTGCCATTAAACAGCTTGGAAGAGCAAAGACCATTTTTAATATAACTCCGACTGGATTGGTCTGAAAAAAGAAAGTCATATACACCTAGGATGACTTGAGGGTGAGTAATTAATTGGCTAATTTTCATTTTTGGGTGAACTAACCCTTTAAGTAAGAGATATGGGTGTCATGCCATAACATAGTTTTAATACGACTGACTTTATATTTAATGTGAATTTAACATTGAAAGTTAATGTGAATAAAAACATTGTAAGTTAGGCTACTTATCATAGCATTTTCATTGTACAGAAAGAAAGCAAAGAACATTTACATTATCAAAGAACATTTTCACTGACAGCCTAGAGTTCTAGCACTCTCAAAAACTCCCATTAAAATCACTAAAGCTGTTTACACTGTGAAATTAATATCTTACTTATTTATACACACATCTGCACTTTGTTGTTTCTAACGAGAGAATTCACCAGAAAGAGGTATTCAGTCAGCGAGCGAGTGAACAAAACACCGGCATTTTAGCGATGACTCATCGGAACACCTCTGATTGGCCATTGCATTCATAAGCTCAACAGCATCGTGTGTGATTGGTTATAATGCGCAGTGCTGTAAAAACGCGTCTGTCTCTGGCTCAGCGTTTAGCAGCTGATGATATGACACGCTGAATGATTTAATCACGCTGATGGGATTGTATCAAATATACAAAATATTATTCGGCTATTTTTTGTCTTTTGGAAGCTGCATTCAAAATCCACTTGGCTCAAAAATCTGAGGGGGCACGTGCCCCCTCACTTTGAATGGGCATGACGCCTCTGATTATAATTATTGTCCAGTTTTTCGGAAAATAAAAAACTAAATATTCCCATCTTTGTATCTTTTGGCAGTTCACACTACATATTCATATGAAGGCATTAATGAGCATGTGTATGTTTTTTCCAATGGTATTCCTTTCTCTTTCATTAGTGTGCTGCTCCACACGGATTGTCGGATGTTTGGCAGCCCATGTTGGGGTATTTGACCTGCACTCTGAATAGCGTCCCGTCTGCACACATGCAAAGTTTATACCTCTCCAGCCCTTCATTGAAGTACAGGTCTCCCCCTAAAGAGGAGTTCGGTATACGTGAAGGACTGAACATCACTGAGCCATTCAGAATAATGCTGTTTTCCTGCACACAAAATAGAAAAAAACAACATTCACACACTCCTATTTATATGTTTAGATTTTATATATAGGACAATATTTGGCCGAGATACAACCTTTGAAAATCGATTTGATCAATTTGTTGAAAACTAATTTGAATATCTGGAATCTGAGGGTGCAAAAAAATCTAAATATTGAGAAAATCGCCTTTAAAGTTGTCTAAATGAGGTTCTTAGCAATGCATATTACTAATCAAAAATTAAGTTTTGATATATTTACAGTAGGAAATTTACAAAATATCTTCATGGAACATGATCTTTACTTAATGTCCAAATTTTTTTGGGCATAAAAGAAAAATAAATAATTTTGACAAATTCCATGTTTTTTTGGCTATTGATAAAAATATACCCAAGCGACATAAGACTGGTTTTGTGGTCCAGGGTCACATATACAAAATAAATATACACAGTAAACACATGTATTATGTAAACACAAACTTTTATTTTGTATGTGATTAATCACGATTAATTGTTTGACAGCTCTAGAAAAAATTAAAATTAAGTTGACTTACAACTAAAAATTTAAGGAAAACTTTTCAACGCTTTTAACTACTTACTGCTTTTAGCTCAATGCCCCCACCCATGCTGAACTCCACAGTTTTGCCCATGATGTAAACTCCCTCGTTGCCACGAATAATGGCCTTACCATCTCCTTTGATAGTGAGGTCAGATGATGCATTGCTGGTGATCTGCAAAAGATGGCAGTGAGTCACTGTACAAACACACCTCATGTTTGACTAATCAAAAGACGTAGATTAAGACGATCATAAATCTCATATCAAGACTTTTCATATGTAAGATTTGTCCTGACATATGATATAAGTGCTGTATGCCATGTGATAAAAATTCTACTCAATTATTCAGGTTTCATAAGACTATGAGTCAGGTCTGTTGCTTACTCTCTCAGTAGAGGTTTTCTTCACGTTGAGAACCTTGACCTCTTTGGGCAGGTGGAACTCATGTGTGTCAAAGTCAGTGCTAAAGAAAGTCGTCTGAGTGCGGGGGTCAGTGAAGGAAATGCCTAAGTCGCTGACGATAGACGTCTTATCTTCCTCTACACTCAGCTTGGTGTTGCCCTGCTGGAACACCACCTGTAACTCACACAGAGAACACCTAAATCAATACACTTTCTCATGTCATCACTCACACTGTAAAAAAAATTCTGTAGTTTTTACAAAATAATTTTGGCAGCTGTGGTTGCCAGAATAATTTTGTAAAAAATACAGAAAAACTGTAAACACATTTACGGCCAAAAACTGTAAATTTTACAGTATAAAACTGTAATTTACAAACAAGAACATTTGAATGTAAACCAGTAAATTCAACAATGCACACTGCTATTAAAATCTGTTTTGTACATACTGACAACCACCATAATAATGCAGGTGGTAAAAGAGAAAGCCACATGAAGAATCAAAGCTCATCACAAGTAGCTTCGCCACAAGCAGAAGTATATACTAATATATAGAAGGTGCACAGAGTCATTCATGCAAACACAAAACACCATCATGGTAACACACATGATACTTAAATAATGCATTAAACTTTCATTAAACAACAGAAGATGTAACATAAAGCCCAAATAACCATAACTAATTACAAAAACTATTAAAAAAACATGATTATTTAAACAAAATACTTTAAAATGTGGAGGGTCATGCAGGGAATTCTGGGAATATCAGTTTACAGCTTTTGACTGTAAATTATACATTGATTTGTTATTTTTACTTCTAAAAACTGTAAAATTAACAGCATTTTACTGTAAAATTACATGAAATGTCTGGTTAGATATTTTACAGTTTTTCCCTGTATATAGTACGGGAACTTACTGTTAACCTATTAACAGTTTTTTTCCGTAGCGTTTTTACAAAATTTTACAGTTAAAATTACACTTATTTTTTACAGTGCAGAGCATACAGACTTGTTGAAAGAAAGTCAGATACTATGCTGACTGACTGGGTTATTGTTGCCAGTAATGACAAGGTCCTGGTCCTTCCTGCCGCCCACTGTGCTTTTGTGTAGTGGATGGACCACGCCCATATCGGCCTTCTGTTTGAAGCGTAGCAGTCCACTCTCATGAAACTCCATACTTTCACAACCTCCAGGACCTATCCGTATCACTGTCCATATCACCAGTGTTATCTATAAAACACAGATAATGTATAAGTGTCTCGGTATTCAGTGAGCAGTAGAGATGGAACTCAAATTATATGAAAATGTCTTATATTTTTTTCAAAAATTATTTGATGCTAATTTTATATATAGTATAAAATTATAGTATATCCTATCATATTAATATCACAGACCCAACAAAGAACCGATAAACTCACAATGAGGTTGATGAGCGCAAGCAGAAAAAGTAGGATGATTATGCCAATGGCAATGATGCCCTTGCGACCCCTCAGTCCTGTTTTGTGAAGTCTCTCCTCTTCAATCGGAATATATCCAGCCTTAAAATTACTGTTGTGCTCTTTATTAACTGATCTGCGCTCGATAGCCTTCTCCCTCATAGACTTCTTCACCGGCGCATTTGGGATTTCCTGTGGATATAAGGAAAAATAAGATGGTACATTAGTTGGTACAATTATTGTCTGCTACTGCACATTTACTAGACACTCCATTACTGCTACAAGAGGATTACCATACAAGAACCCCTTCAAAATATAGCAATACTCAGCTTTACTTAAATGATTTGCAAAATTGCAATTAAGATATTTTCTAGGCTTCAGTGATGAATTTGGGTGTAAAATCAATTATGCCAGTATGTATTCAATTATTATGGTAGCCCATATACTTAAGCCACACTTAAAATGTTTCATTTTTCTGAGAATTTATTTTCCAAATACATCTGAGCAACTGTTTTCAAGGTTAATTTTTAGCAGATACATGAACTCAGTTATCCTCAAGTTCACACAAGTGTAATAGCATAATAACCAGCGGCATAGTTCATTTTATCATGTTCACTAATGATTGACAACCACATAATGTCAACATACTTTTTAATTTGAATTTAAACAGCACATATCTTTTATATAATAACATTTTATCACTTTGTATCATTTAATTCCTAGCATATCTATTTTGAATATGCTTACAATAAATATCATTTCAGTTTAATATTTTATCATTTAATCATTTATATTTAATTATGTAACTCAATGTTAGTTTTAAGCATGTCTTAAATGCTGTAATACTTTTGGGACCAGTATTACAGTGTGTAGTAATAATACTTCATATTCTCAGTACTTAATATTTTGTTCTATCTTATCTCTTGGAGTATTTATTTAGTATATATAATTTTGGATAGAGCACTAAATAGTGACAAATGATTTTCAACCTGAGTTACTTGCGGTACAAGGGAGTCTGATTGTCTGATGTGGGAATATGCAAAAAATAACATCTCAGCCTATAACAACAATTTCTCTTTTTCCCCAGCCAAATGCATATTCTTTTAGAATTAACTAACACTACACATTAATTAACTATAAACACATTCATGCTATTAGTGTGACGGCTAAAAAAGAAAGCAGCGTTGCTGTCTTCAGGAATGCAGTAGATGAGTCCGTGTGTCTGTATGCCTAAAAATAAATGACACGCAGCCCTTTCCTCTGTAATAAACACGAGCGAATGGTTTTATTTTAAAGATCCAAAGCATCACCATCCAGTATAACCACAGCAAACTCTAACCCTGCAATAATGAGTCAATTTGTCCATAAACGGACAGGGCATAAATCGCGCAGATGATCGTTATTCATTCACATACATCGCCATAGACGTCGTTACCAATTTAAAGTTATTATACATCGCTCGCTTTAACGCTCAAAATCACTTGAAAAGCAAGGCAAAAGAGAAAACATTTACAATTCACATTGAAAACAGACCTGCTCCGACGCCATGTTGACCCTCCCTCTCCAGACCACTGTATGGACAGCTTCACACACAGCCTGAGGAGAAACCACTGCGAGAGAACCGTTATCCAAACAATAGTTTCAAACAGCCAAACCTTCACATGGATTATACACTTCAAACCTGGCTAAATGAAATTTAGAATGAAATTTCCCATAAATATAGGCCAGTGTTGAAGAAGAAATTAGTTACTTTTAAGGGAGCACTAACTATGTAAGATGGTTTGTTCCTCCGCTATAAAGAGCCAGTTGTGAGTCACATCATCTCGCCGTATAAGGAAAGTACAAATAAAGACAGAGCATATCATAAAATGAAAATGACAAGAAACGCCTGCTATGATATTTTTTCTGTTGTCTTTATTTCCAACATTTTTTTTAGTTAAAATTTCTGTTTACACTGAAATTTTTTTTTCGTAGTATTAACAAAAAATAAAAATAAAATAAATACAACAAATGGTGAATATGACAACCTATATATTAAAAGACACATACAATATATTGTTAAATATGTTTTTTTTTTCTAATTTAAAAGTATACGAATTACCTCAGAATTTTCAGAGATTACAGTAAAATATTGTTAAATTGTTTTTAATTAGTCAAAAGCATTATTGATAGCAAAAGTAACATTTCCCTGCGTAAACAGTCTGTTTGTTTATTTATTTAAATATAAAGTGATCAGTTATGTGTGCATTTGGGTGTTTTGTGTTGCAGTTATGCTATTTATTTAACGTTTATTGAATTATTTTAGTGTTTACCAATGTGTTACCTCTTTGTTTTACTAGGTCACACTTGCTGGATAATTAAATTAAGTCATGCAACAGTTACAATGCAATACTTGAAATTATTATTATTTTTTTTTTATTTGAGATCAGGACAGACAGAGGCTTGTAACTTTGGCACGTGGTATAACGTTAAATGATGGAAAATCAATTAGGGCATTTCACCTGTTCTTCAAGAGAATGTAAATAAAGATCTTCCTGCACTTGACATCTGACACCCACTTAACAGTGTGAGATTTCATCACTGAGAACTGAGCTTCACCTTCAGACAGAGAGTAACATAAGATGCCGTGTTAAAAAAAAACAGCTCGTATGGTTTAGGCTGTCCACACTGTGCTTATACACAGCTATATTTCCTCAAACTGTGAAGTCTAGCAAACCGTTGCTACAACTAAAAGCGCGTCCATGGTTTCGGTGAAAGTCGAGGGTGTGAATGGTGGGCTTTTACTAGGGGTATAAATACAAAGAGCGCAACCGCGCTGCTGCATTAAGTGCGCTGGGACGTCCTGAAGCAGGATTACAGCAGCAGATCTGCAGCTATGGCTGACACTTTACGACGACTGGTCAACTCATCTCCATATGGCGTTTTGCAGGACAAACTGGAAGCTTGGTACAAAGACTATCATGTAAGTCATCAATAATTCAAGCTGCACTTAGTCTGTGATAAACCACAATAGTAGTTTACTATAGTCACAGACTTTACATTCTGTTTAGTCAGGTATGTGTATAATATCAAGTGCACAAATTTAGGATTCACTGATTTCAGATTGTGGTATTTGAGATTCTGTCTGGGGACTGTTTTCACCACATGTATTTAAACTATTTAGATGCAGCTGTTGGAATTTGCACAACTCGGTATGCACAGCAACCTACAGTTGTTAGATGGCCATAATATACTGGAGTAGTTGCCAAGCATCCTGAATTAATATGCGCAGTAGTGTCCTGCATTGTGCTTTTATAACAACAGACCTGAGTTGGAATATTTGCTTTATTATATTGCTTTTGCGGCAGAGTTTGGTTTCTATGGACGCTCGTTGTCAGGACAACTGGTACTCCATTCCTGAGCACTTCTGATTGGCTGAGAGCAAACGTGCGCGCTCCCGTCAGGCTTGTGTTTTTGAATGGAGGGAGTCATAGGAGTTTACTCTCTTCTTGCGTAATGAAATTTTATCTTCAAAATTTACAATCTATAGGGACTTTGATTTTAACCACACATGGGTCAGTGAAGCGTAGTTTATTTTATTTATCATTCATTTATTCTAAAAAATACGTTAAGAAATGAAAGTCAAATAGAATGTGTTGAGAAGAGATTAGCCTAATTTATTTTTTATATGCTAAACATGTTTTTTTTTAGTAATTTGGATATTTTTGTGGGTCAAAAATGTCTAGTTGGCATCTCTTGATAAGGGACCCTAACCCTAAAAAAAGAGAAATGTAGTAGTTTGACATACTCTTTTACTATTTATTTAAAATATTAAGCAATTTTACTTGTAAGTTTGTCCACCACGTCAAAATAAGTGTGACAAGAAGCCATTTTGTTTTAATTTGTAAGTTAAAAATTACATTTAAAATAAAAGTTAATGTTTTGGTGTTTGATTGTTTTAAATTAATAAAAAAATTAAAAAGGCACATTTTGTTCGGGTCAAATGAAGTAACTATGACTTCTGATTCTTGATATTTTTATTATTATTTTTTTAAACATGAATACAAAGTTTGCATATAAAGAATTTGGAATATCAGAATGAGTTGTTTTATACCTATTTGTCACTATTAGCAACGCATTATTGCAATGCCAAAAATTAAAAGGTATTGTTTTCATACTACTTGATCAGGAAGTGCGATATCCAAGTCAGCCCATTGTTGCAGTTTGGGGGCGTTTCCACAAATGCTACTTCACTTGCTATACCTCATCTTATAACATCCTTTGGTCATATTTTCTCACAGGTGTTCTCTTGTGACCAGAACCTGAATAGGTGCTGTGAGCTAGTGGAGCTCACCTCTAAAATTCAGGGTCAATTGTTCACCATACTCAACCTTACAGCACAAGAAGGTAACAAATGGACCTGCCCCTATCTTTACTTTCAGTATTTCAATAGTATAATCTCATTCACCTTTAGCATGTGACATGGTTATTTCCTCTAACTGACCATTTAACAATAACATTCGAGCAGATTCTCTGTCCTCTTTCTTCCTCAGGGGGACATTATTCAGGTGTTGACACACTGAAATCTCGCCTTTTGCCATGGCTTGGCTCTTGCTTCACCATTGCAGCTTCGTCTGTCTCCACAGATACCAGCCTTAGCCTCATTCAGGTCAGATGGATATCCAGAATCCTCTGCTGCTGTCTTTAACATTTGTTCCACATGTTAGCAACCACCAGTATGTGTTTTGTGTTTAATGGTGGTGTTCATGAGTGAAATAACTATTCTGAGTACCCATACCTGCATGCATGTGTATCTATGTGTGTTGGCGCTTGTATACTTTTGTGTGTGCCAATCAGGAATCTATGGAGAAAGATCGGAAGATTCGTGAACTATCCTCAGTTCATGAGAGCGACATGCAGAAAATAGAAGACAAGCTGTGTTCTACACGTATGGAGTTGGATACAGTTAAACAGGAGTCGGTATCAATTCTAGTAACAAGTCTAAATGAGATAGTTGGTGCTAAGAGTGTCAGTAGGGATATGGAATTCTGTATGAATTTCTTTGTAAAATTCTCTTCCTTTATTACCAACATCCTAATCAAGGGGCAATTTGTTGAAAAACAGAGGTATGGGGGAATATTTAAAAATTACTAGCTACAGTACGTTTACATGCACCCAAAAAGTCTGTCAGTAATCGAACTGAAAAGCCTTCACGTAAACACCTTTCTAACTTTTATATTATGTTTTACAAACTGGTCAATTTTGAAGAGATTGGATATTTACTAATATTTTTGCTAAATAATAAGCTCTTCTGACGTATATTTCAGATTTTTTGGCTATGTCATCAAGGTTAAAACAACAGTTATACTAAGATCCGGTGATATTATAGCTGTGGCTTTCTCCAGTTCTGAACACGGTGACTGAGGCACTGCATACGTACTCAAGTTTTGTTCATAATACATAAATGCACATGTAAATGAAAGTGTGAATTGGATTGCAAAGTTAAGGGCTCGTATAAACAGAACCCTAACCCCCGACAAATTGCACCGTGATCCTACACAATACACAATACATTGTAATACAGACATGCTTAAGAGTCAGTGTTACATTTTATACTCCTCCATACAAATCAATCAAAGTCCGTTGTATTGTTTATTTGATTCCAGGCTTGCTGACACCCAGATTGAACTGGACTCCACAAAGAATAAATCTGCAACCACCCTGTTGGCCACAGAGGATGAAATACTACATCAAAAGGCAGAGTGAGTCAGAGATGGTGAACTTTAGTCTAAATGTCTGTTTTTCTCTTTGTGGATTAAACCATACTACATAAAATTTTAAATGTATTTTTTGTTAAATTACTGAATTATGTATTTGTGTCAGGTTGCGAGTTGCTCAAGATCAGGTTGATCTGTATAAGAGAAAGCTGGATGTACTTGATGACTATGAGAGGCAGGTCAGAATCCTACGAGACGAGATCTCGGTTCTCACCGCTGAAAAAACTGTTCTACAGGAGAGGTACGTTTGACATGAAAACACCTCGTTGCTTAGTGCAAATGAGACTTAAGCAAGCCTAGCTTACTCTCTTGACTCATTTCCAGATTGGTCAGGAGCCGTTCACCTAGTCCTCTTCCCCGCCGGAGTCGCTCCGTTAGCCCTGTGAGGGGTGAGTCTCCTACACGCGCACAGCTCACCAGTTCCTCTCGGCACGCGCGGCTGGTGTCCCGTTTCTCAGACCTGTACGTCACAGAGAGACTGGAGTCCCAGAGTCTCCTGCGCAGATACATTGACGACCTGGAAACAGTCCAGAGGATCCTTTTTATCGCTGTTGTGGTAAGAATAACACTAGTGGTTATCACAGGATGGAAATAGATAACCAGTGTAGGCTAGTAATAATGTTATGGTGCTTTCTAAAATTATTGAACATAGTAAAGAACACAGCAGTTACTTAATTTGATCTAATCTGATCCAAAATGAAAGATAAATTATATTATATTATTATAATTATTATTATATTATATTATATTATATTATATTATATGCTGTATTATAATCATTTGTATTGTCCAAAAGGAATCATTTCAGGCTGCTAAGATGGCCTATCGGCAGTTTAAAACGCGTGTGAGGAAGACACTTTCCTCCACTCACATTGGTCCTGAGAGTCTGGAGGATGCAGTGGTGGATTACATTGTGAGAAATCTGGATCTGTATGATGTGCAGACAAGCGTTAATGTAGGTTTGACCATGGTTGCAAACACTGAAACATTTTTGTGATTAATTATGGAAGCTTTGAAATTCTAAATGTTTTTCATGTGATTTATTATAAGCCTATTTATAAAATAGTTTTTTATTGTAACGGTATATTTTATTTTTAATAGTTTTAGTAGCAACACTGCTGTGTTCATATAAATGTAGTTCCCTTTAGTGTTGTTGAATAACATTTCATTTGTTCATTGTTCATTTCCATCTACAGGATGTGATCAACGCGATGAATGTAAACCCACGCATCTCTTTCCCTCCCGAGGTGGACTTTGTTCTGATCAGTAGCTTCATTAGGGAAGCATGTCGAATAGCATTTGCTATGCAGACTCTGGACCCAGCACTGGACCTGGCCTTCAGCTCAGATGGAGAACTCTACAGTGACGTTAAGTGAGTGGAGCTAATACATCAGACACACTCACACATACACATCAACACATAGCAAGGGTCTTGTGATGCATCTTTTATCTCCTCACACACAGAATTTGCAGAACTTTTTTAAAGATGTATATTACACTTAAAAACACATACACTTTCTCTTCCTCTCAGGTACAGGCGCAGCTTTGACTCGGAGTTCACCGCTCCGCTTGTGGCGTATCACTTGTGGCCTGCACTGTTGGAGGGAGACACTGTCATACTGAAGGGAGAGGCGGTCACTAGGAGAGGAGCTCTGGTATGTGGAGGCTATTCAGAGAAAATCAATCTAAATAGCATTCATACTAGTCACGACAGACCCATACTTAAAAAAAAAAAAGAAAAAAACTTAACTTGTGGATATTTTTGTTAATGCTTTTTAATACGTTTTATGCATTATTGTTAAAGAACTATTACATTTGTAAATATTAATAAATATAAATGAATAGTATTATAAATGATTGAATATTAAAAATGTTTAGGAGTTTAAAACTGAATAAAACTAAATAAACGGAATTGAATTGAAATTTTTAAAGAAACTGAAATGCTGTTTGTGTGGATGTTTTCTCTAGTGGAGAAGCAGGAGTCGTAGCTCCAGTCCTGTTCGCTCTCGCTCAGGAAGCCCCAGCCGCACATTTGTGAGTTTCTACTGACAACTCCAGCAGTTAGTCTTCCAATTCAAGGAATAATTGACCTGGAAATATTCAATTGTCATTATTTACACACCTTTACATTTTTTGAAACCTGTATGAGTTTCATGTTTCTGTGGGACATAAAAAAGTTATTTATAGCACAATGTCTAAGGTGCCGTTTTCTTTATAATGAAAGTGACTTGTGACCAAAGCTGTCAAGCAAGATTTTCAGTGAATAATGATTTAAGTAAGCCTGTACCTCACACAAAGCCATCATATTTTTATAGTTAATTTATGGTGCGTTTTGGAGCTTGACAACCCCTGGTCCCCATCCACTTTCACTGTATGAAAGAGAGCAGTTTAGACTTCCTGCTAAACCTCTGCTTTTATGCTTCATACAGGTTTAGAATGAGGGTGAATAAATTATGTCAGAATTTTCATTTTGTTGCGAACTATTCCTTAAACATTCCCAAAAGTACACAAGAAAAACGATATAGTCCACAATATACAGTCCACAATTTATTGTGCGCATTAGTTTTCATCTTCATTTTCTTGCACATGCTTCCTCACTGAGTCTGTGGGTTAGTACAACTTCTTTGCAAATTCTTCTATTCTGCTGTGGAATTCGTACAAAATAATTTCTGCTGTCTTTTAAGTCGTCTCACTCTCTCTCTCTCTCTGTCAGATGCCCAGTCGTAGTCGAAGCCCTTCCCCTGGACGTCTCTCAAGTAATCGACTTTAAAGTTTGATACCTGACCTCACTTCACGCTGGATACAGAACCAAACAGAAGCAGATTAATCAAAACATAATTTTTTCCCCCCAGTTTTAACATATTCTTTTCTATGTGTGGGACGAATTAGAAACTTAAGTGGAAAACAATTACCTTTATTACTGACTCAGTATTTATGAAGAATGGAGTCATTTGTCATTTTTAAACAGAAAGCACTATTTACAAGCTCTACACTAATATTTTCTGAGTGGACTGCACTTAACTTGACTGCACTTGATTTGATTGGCCAGTTAAACCTTAATTATATTTGATCAGCACCATGAATATGCATTATACTGATCTGTGACTCAAAGTGAGGGAACAGCACTCTAAACGTTAACATTTTACTCAGTGAGTCTAACAGGACCATTGCACATTACACTACCATTTTTTAATTAATATTTTTAATAAACTTTTGAATGGTGGTGTATGTGCTTGTTAAGGTGCTCTGTTTGTCTGTGATAACTGGACAAGTCCTTTGAGGTGCTATTCTTTCAAAAAAAAAATTGAGTATGCAGTGTTTTCATATATATATTTATGTGATTTTTATCTATACAGTAGGAAATAGGAAATATGTTGTCTTCTAAGTCACACCTGCACACAAGCACTTTTGTCATTCAGATTCCCTGAAGAATATTAATTGGCTCTTTTGTAATGAGATCTGTATTTCTGTCATCACTCTAAATATAAGTGCTGTATGTGAAGTGATTCTACTGAACTGTCATTAATTTGTTTCTTCTATGTAGTACATAATCTGTAGACACTAAAAAAATCTTTTACAGAATGCATTGAATGCATTTTCCCTTTAAGGACACTTTTAATGTCAATTTTATTTTTTCCTAATGTTGGTGCTATTTTTTTTTTTTTTACTTTGGTTCAAAAGAATCCGATTGCAGTGTTTTGAGATTTTAAGCTGTTCAAAATCTCAATCTTACAGTATAAGTTTAAGGTGCTCAGTCTGTTCTCCTAATTTTGTCATGTTTACTCAAATCATTTATTAAATTTGTCTATTCATACAAATATGTGTGAGTGTGAATCATTAGTAACAGACCTAACACGTTTGGTTTTATATTGGTTTTAACAGTTATTTTCATACAGTAAAATAATTTATCTGTGTGCACATAATAAAACACAAAAAATGACTCAACAGTGGTCATACCATTAATGTATGTATACTATTACTTAGTTTTCCTTGAGTCATAATGGAATATATAAAGGAAGCCAAGGTTACATAAAAGATGGGTTTTACTAACGTGAGCACAAAAGGTCATCTGTTCCAAAAACCTTATTTTGTCTGTACCCACTTCCACTCGTCACCACTAGAGGTCACTCACATCCTACTAAACGGAGGAGAATACAGATTTATTACGTTTCCATTATTCCATGGAAACTGGGACAATATTAAAGGTCCACTCAATAAATAAAAAAGTGATTTCTTCTGAAAAGTCATTTTAAAAATAATGTACACTCTGAAACATCAGCATCCTAATAAAAGTGTTGTTATTTTAGTATAAAATAAATAGCTTAAAATAAAATAATTTAAATATTGATATATTATTTATTAATATTTTGCATTTGCTTTTATTTATTTATGTTTATTTTTTATGTGCTTTTTCATTTGTATTAATTGTTTTTGTTGTTCAAAAGCAGAATATTTGTATTTTGCTTTCATTTATTTTTATTTCAGTTTTAGTGATTTTGTATTTCAACATTTAAATTTCAGTTAGTTGCCAAAGCAAAATTTTTTGGTATATGTTCTTTAAGTAATATATATATATCAAGTAATTATATATATAAACTGAAATGCTGTTTGTGTGGATGTTTTCTCTAGTGGAGAAGCAGGAGTCGTAGCTCCAGTCCTGTTCGCTCTCGCTCAGGAAGCCCCAGCCGCACATTTGTGAGTTTCTACTGACAACTCCAGCAGTTAGTCTTCCAATTCAAGGAATAATTGACCTGGAAATATTCAATTGTCATTATTTACACACCTTTACATTTTTTGAAACCTGTATGAGTTTCATGTTTCTGTGGGACATAAAAAAGTTATTTATAGCACAATGTCTAAGGTGCCGTTTTCTTTATAATGAAAGTGACTTGTGACCAAAGCTGTCAAGCAAGATTTTCAGTGACATTTTATTTCAATTAACACAAGTTATTTTTAATAGTTTCAGCTTTGGTTTTTTGTTAGAAACCAAAAGCTGTTTGATTTTACATGCGGATTACCCTGTTGAGATCACATGACCAGCCAAATATTACTCACTTTATCTCTGTAACTCTGTTATTGGACATTTTTTTTTTACAGAATAAATGAATCATGGCTGACTGACTGTACATTTATACAATGACACTTGTAGTAGTGTAACTTCTAGACAGACAGAACAACATAAAACATTACTTGTGTTCTTTTAAAGTATGGATTTTCAACTGTAATAAAAATAGAGAAAGAGGGAAATTACAGGAAATTTTTAAGAGTGGAACCATGAAGTAAAATAAATTGCTAGGTAGGCCATGTATGTGATTAGAGGAGAGTGGATTCATTGAGACCCTCTTGTCTTAACCACACAGCATCCACACACAGACACAGACACAGACAGACACACACACAGACACACACGTCTGGTTTGCTATCCTTGTGGGGACTCTCCATAGGCGTAATGGTTTTTCTACTGTACAGACTGTATATTCTATTGCCCTACACCAACCCTACACCTAAACCTACCCCTTACAGGAAACTTTGTGCATTTTTAGATTTTCAAAAAACTTCATTCTGTGTGATTTATTATCATGTTTACCCGTGGGGATCTTAATTTAGGTCCCCACCGTGACACGAGTCCCCATGAGTCTGTGTGTATTCAGGTTTAAGTCCCCACCAGAATAGAAAAACAAGTACACACACACACACACACACACACACACACACACACCTGTTTGCTGCTGAATACAAATAAAAGCATCATTATATAGTTGCTATGGCATCGGATAAACTCCTGCTGTTAAAGGATGAGACAGGATGAGAGGATGGCGAGGAGGAGTGTAATTGTAGAATGACTGCATGGCCAAGTCATACCAACAAATTATAAAGCAGGGATCAGTAATACAGACTGGCGCAGCATGAACTCATGCTCAATGGCTACTTATCATTTTCCTGAAATAAACAGATGCTGTATTTTGCTCTGTGTCCTAGAAATACCCCAACCAGCTGTTATTTTGAGCGCAGTTGCTGCCGGACCTGGACTGTCCTTTGAAGCAGACTCAGATCAGAGACCTCCCAAGGTTAGAGAAGTCTAAAGTCTGCATGCATAAAAAGCAGTATATGCTAAAATCTCTTCATCATTCAAAGTTTCATTGGTTTGGATAAACACTGGACAACTGCAGCTGGAGGAACTGGACATAAATTAGTCATAAAGCAAAATTGATACATTGGGGTTCACATACATTTTTCTAAACTGCATTGTGAATATATAGGCTACATATAGCCTATGGTCAAAAAATATGTAAGGAAACATAAGTAACCCACAATTCTGGAAATTCCATCATATACCTTTTCCTGAAACAGTTTTTCACAGACAGGGTATGAAGACTATCAAAAGCAGTTTCTTATTTTAACTGAAGATCATTGCCTTTTTTTGTTGTTGCTGTATTGAGGAAACATTGGTTTAAATTATGCTCTAAAACTCTACGAGTTACAGTAAATCATGTTGAGCCACTAGGTGGCGATCTTGCGTTAAGATTGAGACACTCATCAGCTCATTGCATGAACCACGAGAGTCAAAAGTTTACAGAATGAGACTGAAATAGTCATAGAATTATGATAAATAATAGGTTGTGTGCTCTTTAAAGAAATAGAACGAGAGAGAAAGGGTGGAGAGGGAATAAAAGTTTGAGGCTTTTCCTTGAGTCTCCAAGTTCAAGTTCAGTCAGAAATGAATGCATATGAGAGCCTGTAACTGAATTAGAGTCTCATCCACAAACTGACTGAGAAAGACAGAGAGCAGGAGACTTCAAGAAAGATAAATAGTAATCTTTTGAATAATATGTAATAGTCGCACTACAAAATTCCATTCGGTTTTTGCACACGAAGATTGTTGTAGCTGATTACAGTGTTGTGTTTTAGAATGCTGGACAGTTTTCATTGCTGGCTTGCCTGAGTTCATTAAGTCCCGATGGCGATGCCAGCAATAGTGTGGAGTCATTGTTCACAACTGCTAATTAACACTGGGAAATTGCCACACGCTAATGAGCAGAATTGTTCGGTCAAGCTTATTAGCAAAGCTTGGCAGCATCTCTTGGGCTTTTGCCTGGAGAGAGACTTAAAGAAAGAGAATGGCAGGAAGATAGATGAACTAACACTTCAGGGTGAGCAAGAGGGCACAGAACACATGTTTACTGCAGAAACAAGAGTTCATCCTTAGATAATATAGACCATCAGCATTATCAAGCTTTCAGGAGAATCACTTTTTAGATTCAAATGACGAATGCCAGTGTTGGGGGTAATGCATTATGTAATTAAATTACTTTCCCCAAGTAACTAGTAAAGTAATGCATTACTTAATGCATTTGAAATTTACAAGAAATATCTGAATTAGGCTACTTTTTCAAATAAAGGGCCTTTACAGTTACCAAGAAAAATATTGTAATGCATTACTTTTAAAAGTAACTTTCCCCAACACTGAAATTGCATAGTCATAACATAATAGCATATTAGTGTTCTTCTGAAGTAACATGTATGTGTCAGACTCTGTTCTTTGTTTTGTGTGTGTTTTGCGCCCCATGTGTTTCCTTATGCCCATATTTGGTTATGTTCCTGTCCTCATTGTTTCTTTATTAGTATCCACCTGTGTTTGTTAATGATCTCGTTTAGTTTGAGTATTTAAGCCCTGTGTTTTCCTGTATTTAGCGTCCGGTATTAACGTCGATGTTGTTCTTGTGTATCTCTGCCTGCCTTGTGTTACCCCTTTTGGATTGTGGATTAAAGACTGTTTATTTTGAGTTTATCCTTGTCTCCGTGTTCTTCGTTTTGCCACAGAAGGCAACCGTGACAGTATGCAGGGTTTACCACAACTTATTTTTTTGTTGCATCATTCATTATTTGATCAGACTGCCAAAGGGTATCTTTTATAATAATAATAATAATAATAATCTAGTTAATATAATAATAATAATAATAATAATAATAACAATATTCAGAACCATCATTAATATAATTTATTATTAATATTAAATGAATTGTTAATTACATTAATAATAATAATAAGCTTATTATTATTTTAAAACATTTTAATATTTTAAGATAAAAGGAACTTGAACTCCAATAAGTGTAGTTTAGTAAGGCAGAGTTCATATCATCCTCTCACATCTGGCTTTTGTTGATGGATTTCAGTAGTTATGTCTGCAGGCATGTGCAGATCCATTAGTCTTACAGATTCA